AATTATCATCTAAAGAATACAGATATGATAGATATCTGAACAAGAGAAAACCGTCATAGGAGAACGGAGATGAGACGCGTGGACAGAAGTTTGCGGTGGAAGATAAGTTGTCATTAGAGCGGTTGCGATTGCTTATACTTCAAAAAGTGATATTACCTCCGTCCCATAATACTTGGCCAACTTTCCTTTCTTTGGCCGTCCTAAAATACTTTGTCATTTTCATTTAAAGTAACAAATATGTGGCTAAAGTTATTTCTCTCTCCTTTGCACCAATATCAACCACACAGTTTTTACTTTATTAATCTACGTGCAAGTTAACATTGGCTAAGTATTATGGGACGGAGGGAGTATTTTAAAGTGATTTTGAAGAAAGTACATAATACTACCTCCGTCCCATAATACTTGGCCAACTTTCCTTTTTTTGCCGTCTCAAATTACTTTGCATTTCCATTTAAAGTAACAAATATGTGGCTAAAGTTATTTCTCTCTCCTCTGCACCAATATCAACCACACAGTTTTTACTTTATTAATCTACGTGCAAGTCAACATTGGCTAAGTATTATGGGACGGATGGAGTAGTATAAGTTGGTAGTGTTTGAGAAAAAAAATGATTATCAAAAAAAAAAGTTGGTAGTGTTTGATAAAATAAGTACTCCCTCCGTTCCTAAATAAACTTCTAACTTTCCTTTTTCGTCCGTTCCAATTAAAACTTCCACTTTCCCTTTTTGGTAAAGAATTTGTGGTTCACAACATTTCTTACACATTTCTCTCTCCTCTGCACAACTCTCCACCACATAATATCCACTATCTTAAACTTTGTGCCAAACCCATTTGGAAGTTAAAATGGGAACGGATGTAGTACTTTTATGTAATAAAAAAAGTGAAAGCAGTTTGAAGCACCCTTCTGCATGCTTCCAACTTTTAGCTTTTAAATGCTTAATTTAAGATGTGTACTTTATTATTATCATTCATATGGCAATTTTATGATGTTAACGTTGTGCGATAATTTTTAAGTTATGGTATTTCGCTTTTTAGATTTAATATTTGAACAGAATATTATTCCGTGCATCGCACAGGTGAAATACTAGTTCCATCAGAATAGTGAACAGTCATTGTTAGGATCAGGACGTCGTGAACCGACTTCAATTAATTTGATATACAAAATTTTTTTTGAGTACTCATAACTAATAACCCTTCCAAACAACCCCCATAAACTTGCTGAATACGTTGAGTGCAACTTTTTCACTTTATCCCAACAGGATATGGAAATATGCAAATGCGTTTAGGTAAATCGGTAATGATTGTTGTGGTTATTCTATGTCGATTGAAAAATAAGTTTTGGGAAAATGGAAACTAATAATCCAAGTTAGATGATCTGTTATTCCAAATTATTTTCGAATAATCAAAAGTGAGACTATTGTAAGAAAATCGTTAAAAGGTTGGATTATTAGTTTTCGTTTTCCCTATTTTTTTTTTGCACTTGGTAATTACTCGAGAAATATTATTCTCTTTGTCCTGAAAAGGTTTGCCAAACTGATTTTTCTTGTCAATGGCAATCAATTTTGATCAATTATATTTTTTAACACTAAATTATTTTGAATATGAAAGTTATATTCAAAATATTTTCATAAAATTATTTTATGAAAATCATTATAAATATTTATTCAAATTATTTTCATAAAATCATAAAATTTACAATTTATATATATACAAATATAATAATTGAAATCATTACCTAAAGTTTGTCATCATTGATCAAAAAAAGTTTTAAAACGCAATAAATGAAATTGTTTAACAAAAGTTACAAAAATTGGCTCTTTGATCATAGTATATGTTTTGAACAAGTAACTTTAAATATACTTGGGAATCTTTTAATAAATTATAAGCAAAAGTCTGTTTAGCACAACTAGCTTCAAGATACTTTTATGATGTTTTAATAAATAGTGTCAAGTAGTAGTTTGTACTCTTTTAGTATCTGAAAAGATTTTTAAAAATGTATAAATATTTGTTAGAAGTTTATTCTTTGATTTGGTTTTGTTATCTATAACAAGTTGTTAATGTTGAAGATGCTGACTTTCTTTCCTCGATAAAGTTTTTGTTTAACGTCATAGAAATTCTTGTGCCAAAATATCATTAGAAGTCCTTAGAGACTTCTTAAACAGTACATATGTGTTTTTTTAACGTCATAGAAATTCTTGTGCCAAAATATCATTAGAAGTCCTTAGAGACTTCTTAAATAGTTCATATGTTTAAAGAGAAAAGGGTCGAATAATATTTTCTACGGTTACGGAATCGTTATATAAAGTCATGTACTCAACAACGTGTAATATAAATACTTCTACTTATAAAAAGTATCGGATGAGTCAAAATGACCCATTGACAACCTCTTATTCCGATTTTAGCTTATGTGTCATTATTTGTGCTTTGTATTTAAGTGAATCATTATCGAATATTTCACCTCGGCCTTATAATCTATTTCAAAAAGATAATTAGATAGATGTACACTAAAATCGGAATTATGAGGTTGTTAACGGGCCGTCACTACAAAAAAATTCGCCTGTAGTCACGGACTTAGTCACGGACTTAGTCACGGACCGTAGTGTAAAAAATCTGTGACTAACTCATTTAGTCACGGATTTTATTCGTGGCTAGTTTCTTGACTAATTTCGCGTGACTAGAACGTAGTCACGGAACATTGGCCGTGGCTAAGTGTAGTCACGGATTAGTCACGGACTCGGTCCGTGACTACATCTTGACCGGAATTAGCCCTCCGGTGTGTTAGTCACGGACTATATCCGTGATTACTTTAATTTAATTTTTTTTATGTTAGTCACGGACAAGCGCCGTGACTAGGTTTAACTTAAATTTTTTTATTTTTGTGGGCGTCCGTGACTAACGTTTTTTAAAAAAACCCGTGATTAGTCACAGACATGTATCCGTGACTAAGTTTTTGAAATAAAAAAATAGTCCGGATTAAAACGTAGTCATCGATGTAGTCCGTGACTAATGTTTTTTGATTTTAAAAAAAATCGATTTTAAATAAAAAAAAATAAAAAATTATTTTAATTTTACTTTAAAGCAATTAGAATAAAAACAAATTCCATACAATCTTAAACATAAAAAATGTTATTACAGACTGAATTATACAAACAAAATCCGTACAATGTTATGTAATTACATGCCCGTACGTCGGACTCCATTATGATAAAAATTAGAATCATCATAATCATATGCGTCATCATTATCACCATAGTCACGATGATGATCCTCTTCTGCATCCACGGTGTTCAAGGGTCAGGTACCTCCTCGGCTGCCTCGGTTGCCTCCTCGGTTGCTTCCTCGGTTGCCTCCTCGATGGCCTCCTTGATGGCTTCCTCGGCTGCCTCCACCGGATGACTGAAACTGATTGAGCATATCAGACGACAGAGATCCGAATGTCGACCTCATTGCAGGCATGACACCATATCCGGAGTTAGAGTGATAACCCATATTACCCATGTGCGGAACCTGAGTAGTCTGCTCAACGTGCAACATGTACGACCGAGGAAGAGGCTGAGGCAGAGGCTGATATCCGGCAAGGATCCGTTCCATTGCTTCCAGTCGGGCCTTTGTTTCTTCATCATTCTTCCGTTGTTGTTCAAATGTCCGCTGCTGCTCCTCCAATTCTCGCTGCAATTGGGCAATGCGTGGATCTTCTCCTCGCCTCGATCGAGAAGATGATGAAGCTCCGCTGCCGCTGCGATCGTACAAAATACGTTGCCCCTCAGCCCCGAGGCACGAAAGCCGACCCTTGTACACCCCACCTGCCTCAAGGATCACATCGTTTTTCACATCGAAATCGATGTCATCTTGTTGCGTCAAGCTTAGTTCCGCCCGCTTCTTTTCAACATTTGCGTTATACTTTGTCTAACAGTGTTTGATGACCTTGAGGATAGAGACCCTCTTCTTCTGAGGCCCCGCCTACAAGGTTCGAAAAAGGTTTAAATAAATGTAAAAAAATAAAGGGTTAAAATGGTGTAAGGTTTATTTGAATAAGACTTACAAGAGTTTCTTTATTTTTACTCTGAGGTTTGTGGCCTCCGTGCCATTGCGTTGTCAATGCCTTCTCGGACATCCGATTTTTCTTCCCGCTTTCGCTTCTAGCCAAGAAAGTCGGATCCAAAGACCAGTGGCGGACAAGGTTTTCCCATACCTCATCCGAACACCATTGAGGCCTTACCCCACTGGCTCAGGCACGCTTAAAAGTGGGACGAAGCCAGTTTGAAACTCTGGCATTGTACGCCCTTAGAATAGTGGGGCCTTGTTCTTCAGCCCAGCGAAACCGGGCCTTTATTAAAAAATAAATTAACTTATCATTTGTCAAATTTTAGGTTACATCAATAACGGAAAATTCATTTTTTTACCTTGAACAAGTTCCACCAAAGTTCACGGACCTTGGGGTCAACATCCGTGTACGTAGCCCAGTTGTCAAGAAAGTGTCCACCAATTATGATTTTGATTTGGTTGAGCACATCTTGATCGCTTCAAAAAATTAATGATATTTTTTTATATCCATTTGGTTAGATTATTTGACATTAGATAAAATTATTTGACATTAGATAAAGTTCATAGTTACTTACTTAGCAACCATGTGAGGTGTCACTCATTCCGAATCTTCATTGTTGCGCTCGGCTTGGGTTAAGGGCGCATAGTTTGGGTGAACACGGGAGGTTGATTGTTCATTGCTCATCTAAAATAATTGATTAATGAGGAGTATTAATTTACATTTTCAAATAATAGTGTAAATATAATAGAAGATCAAATTTTGGTTGAAATCTTAAATAAGTTTTCGTATTTAAATTTATAAAAAACATTTTATATAAAAGCAGTTTTTTGCATGGTTGTCATGGCGCATGGCGCAACCCATGGCGCACAGGTCATTTTCCATGGCGATGGCGATGGCGCAAATATGGCGTCGCCACGTGACAAAAAAAAATAAATCAAAACGAATAATAGTTAGAGTTTACCCAAGTTTACCCAACCACTAAAACATGATAAAATAGTTCAAAGTACTTCCAAAAAACATAATATTCAAAAAAAAAGTTTCTGTCTTGCCAAAAAATGTTAGGATTTAGGCTTGTTAGCTTGTTTTTGTTTGATGATTATGGCATAATCATCATCAATCATCGGACTCTTCATCATCTTCGTCTGAATCTGATAGCAATGGCACACCATCCTCATTCATTTCATCCTCGGAGGGATCTGCAACCTCGTCCGTTTCCTCCATTTCCTCCGCCTCCTCTGTGTCCTCTTCGTCGTGCAGTTGAAGTGTTGATGCCCTTGATGTTGTTGCTCTTGTGTTGTGATTTGCTTCGTTAACACCAACAACTTCTTCCACTACATCCCAGTTTTCCATTTCATTTTGCTCAGCAGCTTCATCAATCCATTCATTGCAATCGTCAATGTCATCCAAACATACTTTCATTTTTTTTGAAAGCTGGATCTTGAAGACATTGATTCTGCCGAATGTATACCAAATCATTCATTTTTTTGGCAGCAACCTTGTCCTTTTCTTGCTTTGAACCTAAAACAAGTAGATAACAAATCAACTACGGATAACTTAAATAGTTGAATTAAATATGAAAGGCAGATTTATGAACTTACATTTTCAAAAGCACTCCAGTTTCGTTCACATCCAGAAGCACTGCAAGTTAAACTAAGGATCCGAACAGCAAGATGTTGCAATGTAGGAGACGAGGAGCCATTTGAAAGCCACCAGTCAACTATATTTAAAAATTCCAACCAAATGCTAATTAATAATGTAGAAAACAATACTCAGATTTCAGGATTTAAAATTTCAGCTTTCCATTCCAATCTTGCAGTCAATTACAGCCTACAGCAAGTGCTAGCCATCATTTAACACTTAGTCACTCACATTTGGTACTTAAAATAATTTACTAATCAAGTAATCATACATTCATGCTTAAAATATTCAGATTTAAGCTTTTCAGATTCCATTATCCAGACAGTAGGTTGTAGGATAGTAGGTTGCAGTTTAGGACTTTCCAGTTTCCAAAAAGTTTAAATCCAGTATCTATAAACCTACAAAATTAGTTCTAGCAGAAAGTTAATTAAAATACTTAAATAAGAAAGAGAAGACAGATTACAGTTTGCATACCCGGTGGTTGTTTGTCCCTATTGTTCATTGCCATTTTAGTTCTGAAACTTCCTCTACCATTTGTATAGTTTGATATCTCAGTTGAGAACTCTACACTCTCTCCAATGCTAGCGGGCAACATCTTCTCCACACACTTTATAAAGCCATCGCATACTTCTTCATCTCCGAGGATTCGTCGTGAATTAGGGTAGAAGAATTGAGGATTGAGATAATACCCCGCTGCATGTAATGGAGAATGCAGGTTCTCATTCCAACGCTTATCTATTATCTTCCAAAGAGGCATGTATTTCTCTTCTTTACCTCCCAATGTGTTTTTTATTCCCAATTTTGCTCTCTCCATAGCCTCATAAATAAAGCCCATTGCAGGCAACTCTCCATCCGTAATTCTCAATACCTTCACTACTGGCAATGAAATCTTCATAACATAGGCAACACTCCTCCAAAAGCTTTGACGATAAATTGACTCAAAACAAGATTGACCTTCCGTAGTTTTTGCAAACTCACTTTGATACCATTTCGGTGAAGCAAACATCTGCCTCAATGCCTGTTTCCGCGTGAGAAGACTTTGAAGAGTCAGAAAGTTAGTGGCAAACCGTGTGGCAGCTGGTCTAACTAACTCTCTACCCTTGGTAAATTCTTTCATTAAGTCATGAATAAGGGTATGGCTGTAGATGTAGGTAGTAATCCCTTGTGCCGTCTTCACAGTTCTTCTAACTATCGGCATCTTCTTTGAAAAGTCTTCTAGAACAAGGTCAAGACAATGAGTTGCACACCCCGTCGTGAAGATATGTGGATATCTTTGTTCTATCTTCCTCTTCGCTAATCCATAATTTTTAGCATTGTCGGTTACAACTTGTATGACACTTTGAGGACCTATTTCTTTTATCCACTCATCGAAAAGCTTGAAAAGTGCTTCCCCGGTCTTCTTGTAAGATGAAGCATCTACGGCTTTCATAAACACCGTCCCTTTGCTAGAATTCACGCAAAAGTTCACTAGAGTTCTATGCCGTTTATCCTGCCACCCATCTGACATAATAGTGCAGCCATCTAATTCCCATAATTTTTTGTGCTCACTAACCACAAGATCTGTTTTTGCGACCTCTTTTCGCAAGAACGTCTCTCTCACTTCATGATACGTTGGTGCTTTAAACCCAGCTCCAAACCTGCCAATCTTTTCTAGTGTTTCTTTCCACAAAGGGTCACGAGCTACATTAAAGGCGATGCAGTTCCTGTACATCCACAAACAAAGGCTTTGAGCATACTCATCCCTCTCTTTTTTCTTCATGTGTGATGGGATTGTTGTTTGCGTCAATGTTTCCTTCTTACGTTTTTTTGTTGGATATACGAAATTATCCATAGGCCCAGTCACACCACCTCCCTCTGCATTTGACTGAGAACCAATTATCTCAACATCATCATCTCCAATCACCCTATTTGCACTTGACCCACCAGACTGCTGTACTGTGTATGTACTTCGAAAGGTTTGTTCACACACATTTTTTTCTAAGTTAGCAGCAGATTCTTTCAAGACTAACGCCTGCAGTTCAGCCTTCTTATCAGCGGGAATGCGTTCACACTGTCTTGTGTTGCGGTGCTTCCCGGTCAAGTGTTGTTTAAACCTTGTAATTCCACCTTTCGTCACGTGCCCACAGTAGTTGCAGCGCAATTCATTGTTGTTGTTTTCTTTCACTTTCTGACAGAGCTCCTTAGCAAAGGCAACAGACATCCTTTGCTCTGCCTCTTCGGTTACCTTTATAATAACAATTAAGAAAAAAAATTCAATGAGCATCATGTAAAGTAAATTAAAATAAAAATGATCAATGAGCATCAACTACTGTAAAAATTTCAATGAGCATCAACTACTGTAAAGTTCAGTTTAAACTTTAAACACAAAATATAAAGTTTAAACTTTAAACACATTCATAAACACTTTATCTTTAAGTTTAAACTTTACATAAATTATATACCATAGAAAGTCTCTGTTTTAGTTAAACCATGCACATTTAAGTTTAGACCATTCACAGTAAAGTTTAGACTTTCATAAACAGTCTAAATTAACTTATAAAAGTGTATCAATTTATCAGTTTAAATACTTTGAGTTCTAAAGTAAAAACATCATTTTTCAATGCTATAACTCCTATAAGTATTAAAGTAAAAACTTCATTTTACAAATCCTATAACTCATATAAAGTTTTGGATAAACTGTAACTTATAAACTGAACTTTTATTCATTAATACACAGCATTAAAGAGGTTGTAGTACCTTATGTAGTTGGAAGAAGTCAACGACAGTCCGTCCCCTTTGTCGTTTGCCTTTCTCGGTTGTCGCAGAGCTTTTTTGTTGTCGCAGTAGCTTTAACTTCTCATCACGTGTTCACTTTGTTGTGTTTATTTATTTTTATTTAGGGTTGTTGTTAGTATTATGGGCTAAAATAGTAAGTTTTGTTAGAGTTTTATTGTTGTTATGGGCTAAAATAGATTGTTATGGCCCAAACCTAAACAACTTACAGCTCAAAAACGGACCCATTTTTTAAAAAAGCATTCGCGTATACGCCATGTGTATACACCTCGCCACCAGCCCTTTTCATAGCGCATCTGGGATTTCGCGCCTCATGGCGCATGGCGCGCGCGCCATTCTGCGCCATTGACTACCATGGTTTTTTGTAAACAGTTTTTTGTAAACAGTTTTTTGTAAACAGTTTTTTATAAACAGTTTTTTATAAACAGTTGTATAAAAAACAGTTGTATAAAAAACAGTTGTATAAAAACATAAAAACTGTTTTGTGTAAAAACAGTTTTTTGGTATAATGAATATTCTATATTAATGTTTAACTCAATATGTTATAATTAACATGTCCAACTTTTTTGGAAGTTTGACATGAGGGGGTATTTTTTTTAATTAATTCAGAAGAACTTTTAAATTAAAACAGTTAACACAGTTTATTTATTAAACATTGTCTTTTTATAGTCTACAGTTTATACTAAATTTAAGAACTGTTTTTAATGTCTAACTCAATATTTTATAATTATTAACATGTTAAACGTTTTTGGAAGTTTGACATGAGGGGGTATTTTTTTAATTACTTCGGGAAAACTTTTTAATTAAAACGGTTTATTTATTAAATAGTGTTTTATTGATCTGTAAATTAAAACACGATAACATTGGGTAATTATTAAATATTATTACTTAATAATATATATAATTAATGTTTGTGTATGTATATATACCTGATGCTTGTACCACGGTATAAAATGAGAGTCCACCAATGCATCAATTTCATTGTCAGGGAATGCTGAGTACTCCACTCTAAATTCACTGTGAAGTCAAACATGAAAATATTATAAATCAACTACCTTAATTGTATATATATTACAAACATAACTACAAATTTAACTTACTGATAAAACGGTAAGATTTCTGGACAATTAATGAGCATATAAGTATGCGCAATTTGTAATTCTTTTCCCACGATGTATCGGTTTTGTCCAAGCTCCTTTACCTCTACATGGGTAATTGAAAATGGAAACTACATTTTCATATAAATCCTCGCCAATGTAATCGTTTCGGGCAGGTCTCTTTCTTTTAGTGATGACTTCACGCTCAAAATAAAAAGATGAGAACGTTGAGATTTCTTGTTGAAGATATGCTTGACAAATTGAAGCCTCAACGTGTGCCTTGTTGGTCACTTTCTTTTTCAACTCTCCAAGAAATCTGCAAAGTAAAATAAAAGTGGTACACAGATTAATGTTGTTATGAAATAAATATTCAAAGATAAATGAAATTGTGACTAACCTTTCAAATTTGTACATCCAGTGATAGAAGTCGGGTCTACCATTTAAAGCCTCATACAGAAGATGTATTACAAGATGTTCCATTTCATCGAAAAATGATGGAGGCATTATCTTTTCCAAATTACACATCAGCATGGGAACAGACTCTTCTAGTCTACGGAGAGATGCTGCATCCAAAACGCTTGAGCATATCGACTGAAACAACAAACTGATCTCAGTAATGCAGGACCATACGTGTTCAGGAAGCATCTCTTTCAGTGCAATTGGGAGAAGTCTTTGCATGATTACATGACAATTGTGAGTTTTCATGCTCGACGTCGTTGCAAGTTTGTCCATGTCCACGCATCTGGACAAGTTGGAGCAGTAGCCATCTGGAAACTTCAGAGACACAAGCCATTGTAATATTGATTCTTTTTGTGCTTGTGTGACTTGGTAGACTGCTTTTGGAATATTGTTGCCCTGATACTCTAGATCAACAGATAGTTCGGGCCTATCACACCAAATAGTCATATCTTTTCGAGATGCAAGACCGTCTTTAGTTTTGCCTTTGAAATCCATCATTGTGTTAAATATATTTTCAAACACGTTCCTCTTAGTGTGCATGACATCTATATAGTGACGAATGAGAAGGTCTTTCCGATATGGTAACTCCCAAAAGATACTTCTCTTTGTCCATTTATGGGTATCACAAAACCCATTTGGCTTCTTATTTGGTTCTTGCATAACTGTAGGAATATGTCGAACCCGGTTAAAAATTGCTTCCCCGGTCAATCTCGGGGCGGGGTGTCTCGTACCACTCTACCTCTAATGAAAGACTTTTTGTCCTTCCGATATCGGTGGTTTTCCGGGAGAAACTTGCGGTGACAATCAAAGTAGCTTGTTTTTTTTACTGAAAGTTGGCCAATTGGCACCTGATTTCTCCATGCATATCGGACATCCCATAAGACCATGTGTGCTCCATCCCGAAAGCATGCCATAGGCAGGGAAGTCGCTAATGGTCCAAATGATGGCAGCTTTCATTATGAAATTTTGATCCCTTGAAACATCATATGTTGGTGTCCCAATGGCCCAAAGTTCTTTCATCTCCTCGATAAGGGGTTGGAGATAAATGACTATTTTTTTCCCTGGATCATTGGGACCCGGACATCTTAGAGTCAAAAACATAAAGTGACTTTTCATGCACTTGTCGGGAGGGAGATTGTAAGGAGTTAACATGATCGGCCAACATGAATAGTTCTTCCCAAACCTTCCAAATGGAGCAAATCCGTCTGAACACAATCCCAGTCGCACATTTCGTGGCTCCATTGCAAACTGAGGATGACAACGGTCAAAGTGTCTCCAAGCTTCACAGTCCGAAGGGTGAGACATCATACCCTCTTTTGTTTCGTGTTCAACATCCCATGTCATGTGTTTCGCAGTAGCAGTCGAAGCGTACATCCTCTGAAGTCGTGGAGCTATTGGGAGGTAATACAGTTTAGACAATGCCGACCTATTTCGTGGTTTCTTTCTACTTTGAGGAACAGGTTTGTATCTGTTTCCACCATAGAACTTGCAGAATTCAAGTGCCTCATCATCCTTCCAGAACAACATACATCCTTCCGGGCACGCATCAATTTCTATAAAAGGTAGCCCCAACTTAGACATTAATTGTTTCATGTGATAATATGAATCCGGAAGGTTATGATCACGTGGTAGCATCCCGCTTACTGACTGCAAGACTCTAGTCATGCAAGTTTCAGGGAGAGTGTATTCAGCTTTTATGTTCATAAACTCTGTAACGGCGGATAGCTGAGAGTATCCCTCACAATCAGCATACAGAGGTTGATCAGCTGCTTTTAAAACATCTTGAAATCTTTCAGCTAAACCTTCATCCACATAAGGTTCATAAAATATCGGATTTTCATCCTCATGTGGTTGATATGAGGTCGAAGCTTCAGGAGGATCGTTAGATGGTTGTGGGGGGTTGAACTGAGACATCGATGCACCGTATGCGTCATATACCATTCGTTGCTCCCATCTCATTTCAGCATAGTCTCCCCACGCACTCATCTCTGCAGGGACGTTACGAGACGAACCTCGAGATCATGATTTCGAGATTCAAATCTCGAGATCTTGATTTCGAGATTCAAATCTCGAGATCATGATTTCGAGATTCAAATCTCGAGATCTTGATTTCGAGATTCAAATCTCGAGATCAAGATGTCGAGATGCAAATCTCGAGATCAAGATGTCGAGATGCAAATCTCGAGATCAAGATGTCGAGATGCAAATCTCGAGATCAAGATGTCGAGATGCAAATCTCGAGATCTCAAAAGTCGAGAAGAAGAAATCGAGTCCCTAAATGTCAAGATCCTGCAAAACGAAAACATTGATTTTTGAAAATCTGAAACCTGTTTTGAATAGCCCTGAAAGTCGAGATTCTCCTGTACCAGTTTCAAGCCAAAAACGTTTCTGCAGCAGTGAAAAAAGTGGATTTCGAGATCTCAATGTAGAGATCTTCGAAAAACAAAAATTGAAGAAAACGAAAAAAGAGGTATGCTGCTGGATCGGTTTTGAAAGGCGAATCCAACAGTATGATTTTTACAAAATTTCGTTCACAAACGAGATTACAGGAGCAAATCTCTACATGTAGAAAAACAGAAGAAAAAACAGAGCAGTTCTTCGTTAGATCCAAAAAAATCGCAGACAGATCCAACCTGTTTCACGCCTCGGCTCTGATACCAAATGTTAGTCCCAGAATTCTAACAATCATACAACCATAGCAGTGATAAAGAAGCAGATAGAAAGAAATCGATAAGATTGAACGTGAATCTGGTATACCGTATGAACCTGCCGCTACTCTCCCTGGAGAAGGAGAGCAGCGGCAACCCTAATCTCTCTCTATCTCGCCTCTGCGTCTCTAAGCCTCTCACGATCGTTTTGGGTTCCCGTAAGTTAGCCTCCTTTTATAGGAGAAATTAGCTAACTTACGGGTTACAAGGAAGCCCACGGGCTGATACACATTTGTGGCCCGTATTACACGTTTAATTAATAACTACACAAATACAAAGATAACTAACTAGATTGAACACCATAAAATATTCCCAACAAACTAATTCCCTTAAACTTCACTAAATTTCACTAAAATTTCCACAAAATTAACTAATTCCCTAAAATTCCCTTAAAGTTAACTAATTCCCTTAAAATTAACTAATGTCCTTAAATTTCACTAAATTTCACTAAAATTCCCTTAAAATTAACTAATTCCCTAAAATTCTTAAAATTAACTAGTTTCCTTAAAATTAACTAAAATTCACTTATAGTTAACTAATTCCCTAAAATTCCCTTAAAATTAACTAATTCTCTTAAAATTAACTAATTGCCTAAAATTTCACTAAAATTCACTAAAATTCACTAAAATTCCGTTAAAATTAACTAACGTCCAATAATTAATATTATTAAACTATAAACATGCACAATACGTTACTGGCAATAATTTAATCCACAATACTAAAATTATCAACATCTTAATCTTATTAATAATGCACATTTAACAATTTACTAAATTAAATAATATGAGCAAATCCAATAATTTGAGCATATATATATAATAAACACATTTAAATTAAATTAACTAACCCTAATTTAAATCATTATTAATCCTAAATTAGGCCGTCTTAATTAACAATAATTGCCAATATAAAGAAATCATATACTTATATTTAATCATATATATATATATAAAGTCATTTGAATTAAATAATACTTACATTTAACTAATATTAATAATATGCATTTAAATTATATTCAATCATATATACTTACATATGTATTTAACTAATTTACGTAATTTTAACCCTATATTTTAAAATTAATAACATAT